TTTATTGTAAGCCGGTATGTGGTTTGCGGAACAAGTACAAACTGGTCTAGAGCTTCCACAGAATGAGTGGAGAATTGTAATTCTCAGGCGTGTAACATGTAACTGAAATCCTGTCCTTGGTTCTTTTAGTAGAAGAAATGAGGGTAAAAACGGGGCTTGTCTTTTGTGTCCTCCCCCTCATAGTGGTACTTACATGTTGAACAGATTTCTACAGGACAGTGGTTTGTGTCCATAAGCCCATTGGTATGACACCATTTAATCCTGTGAGTCCCCCACCATCAGCCAGCAGAGATTCTGCTAAACTTTGTCTCCCAGAACAATTGCTGTGTGCAGCAGTGTGTGCAGGAAATGACAGTTTCAAAAGAACAAAGTTTTATTCCGTTGCCTGGATGTGTGCTGGCTGTTCTTGTTGTCCTAACAGTATGGTTTCAGATGCTATTTCCAACTAAGATGGTCATTGTGTCCTAAGCGACTAGACAGCAGAACAGTAAATTTAAAAAATTAGGATAACAGCATTTAAATAGATGCCTACATTTCAATAGTTAAAATAAGAAATAAGCCTGCCTAGATTCTTAAGCAGTTCTTCAACATCTGAAGTTTTATGAGTCTGTCTTATAAAGATAAGTCTTCAGCCAAATTAAAAAGTAATTTCTTAAAAAAACTAGTGTAAATGTGTTGCTTTGCAGTCACTAGGACTTTCTTTTGATCACATCCCATGGCTGCCTGGGATTTCTTGCTCTGGAAAGCTGTTCTTTTTCTTATGCTTAGCAGATCATGGGTTGCATCATCCTGCATGGTTTTGGTTTATGTGGAAGGTTTTCGAATTCTTTTCTGTACTAACCCTTGATCTCCAAAATACCACTGATGAAAAGAACAGAAACGCTAAACAATCACATTGGAATCTCCTATCAAATTTGTGCTCAGGTCATGGTAGCAGTGGGTCAGAACAAACTGTGTTTTTCTTGTCTACAAGAAGTTATGCTAAATAAAGAGGGCGGTTGCCTAAATGTGGGGTGACTCAGGAGAAAATAGTATTTTCTAAGAATTTCTTTTGTGTGTGTGTGTTTTTTTTTTCCCTGAAGACTTGGTAGGTTTCATTTTTATTTCCCTTTATGTTGGATTTTTGGTGGGATGGGGAAGGAATGATGAAATGATGCTTTATGGTCTAGTGTCAGACAATTGAGTGATTATTGCTGGGAGAGGGGCAGTGTGGTAAGTAATCAGTATTGTGATTATACCAAGTTTGCTGTTCCTAAACATAGCAACCGGAGCCATCTCGAACAGGAAAATATAGTCAGATTCTTCGATTTCCTTCAGATTTTCCCCAATCTTCAACTTCGTAAACATAGACAACACTTGTAAGAAAAGGTTTCTTCCTTCAGCGAGTTCCTAATTTTTTTGGTCACATTTTCATTTGAGAATTTACAGAAATACAGGTGAACCTTATTTTTGTTTCTTTAGCTTTTTGAAATACATACAACTTTAATTTTGAATTTACATTATGTTTAGGTGTGCTGCGATTTTCAAGCATCTCAGATGAAGAGGGAAATAGAGTGATAAAATCGGATGAAATTTCATAAGGTCACCTGTTTTTTCTCCTCTCTGTCCACCTGTTGTCTGGCTGTCTCTTCTTGCCTTGCAAATGGTGCCTGGGGCTTGCTTTAGGCCCCTGTTTGCCTGTTTCCTTTTTGGCTGCTTTTGGGGGAATTAATTGGAAAGGTAATTTGGTTTATGGCACAAATAAAAAGGCCTGTGTTGGGGTTAGGGGAAGAAAAAAATCCAAGACCAAGATTCACATTGAGATGACAGAGCACACAGCATGGGTAGAAACCTGCAGAGAGAGATCAGATGGAGCCGGATGCTTTTCATAGTTCACTCTCAACAATCAAGTTGCACATATTGTCAGGATGCTGTATCTCATATTGAAAAGATATTTTCGTGAAGCTGTATTAGATGCAGCAACTTGTCTTTGTCCTCATTTACGTGTTGGTTCTGAAGATGATCTGTACCAATGGGAAAAAGAAGAGGGAGCTGGGTGTATGCTGGGGGGGCCTGGAATCTTGTCCTGACGTTTTTCACTGTGTGTTCAGATGCTGTGAGAGGCAGAATAACAGTCTCCCAATTAGAACTAAAGAGGAACAAAAATTCTTAGCTTGAGGAGGCCCTTTGATAAAAGCTGTGTTAGGCCGGGCCACCCCTTTATTAAGCTAGATAGACTTCCACAGGCTTCAACAGAACAGTTTCTCATGGCCATTCAGCAGACTGAGAGTGGCATTTTCTATGAATGGGCTTTGCCTCCATATGAGTGACTATTCTAAAACGGGTGAATAATTTTGTTTGCCAAAGCCTCAGCCTTCCAAGACCCATGACATGTCATTTACTTTGGAATGTACTTTTAGAACAGGCCAAGTCCTCAACACTCACCCCTCAATCCTTTTTAAATTTTGCTACTCTCCCTGGGGAGAACTGCAAAGGAACTTGGTGCTCTGTGAAATACAGACTCGAATTTTTAGAATAGACTGATAGTTAAGGCCATAATTTATATACCATAAGACTCACCCTTTTAAAATGTACAATTTAGTTTTTAGTGAATTCAAAGGTTATATAAATTGTTGGCACCATCTAATTCCAGAACATTTTTACCACCCCCGAAAGAAACTCTATTGCTGAGGAATAGTCGTTCCCCATTCCTGTCCCCTAGAGCCACTAATGTGCTTTTATCATAAAGATCTTTATTTATTTATTTTGTCATTTTTGGCTGGGGCTGGACTTGAACCTGCCACCTCCAGCATATGGGGCCGGCCCCCTACTCCTTTGAGCCACAGGCACCACCCAAAGTCGTTTTTTTTGTTGTTGTTGTTAGAATGAAATTTGCAGTCTCTGTAACTTAATGGTTAGGTGTAATGGGGTTGGTTAGCCACACAAATAAGCTCTTAGGGCTTGTTTTCAGCTTCTCATAGGAATAAACTCTAGCCTGTTAGAAGGCTGGCCTCTTCGGAAAGGGGTGCAGGGGAGGTAGTCTCCGTAGCCTGAATCCACTTCTTCTTCACTGCCTACAATTAAATGTCCCAGTCATCTAAAATAGTAAACGTGTGATCAGGTGCAAGAGGTGGAGTCTGACATAAGGAAATCAATGTACGGCAAACACCCTTTTTATTTTCAAAGTCCAGAATCACCATCAAAAGCTTTGCAGTTCCTCTCAACCTTTCTGTTCTGTAACTTTCAGAATAATCAGAATTCAAATCATGTAGGACTTTGTCAGTTAAAACCAGAAAAACAGGTAGCCCGAACAGATTGTGAGCTTGGATGTGTGTGTCAAGTATGTCTTAAATAAACACTCTGGATTCCTGCCCGTTGCACTAGGATGCAATCTTTTGAAGTTTGTGAGTTTGAAAGACAAGTGGGGATTGATTTAAAGGCGGAGGGGAGGCACAAATCCTCAGCAGTTTTCTGTGACTATAGTGGAAAGAATTTAAGACATTCCTCAATAGGAGTGCTAATGAAATATGAAGTGCCTAAAGGGATTGTGGGGACCCTAGGGACTGCTCACTGGGTGCTCTTGCCCAGTAATATGAATTTATTGGCCGAGGGATGTGTTCTTTGTTGCCCAACTCTCCAGGACTATCCCAGGATGGCTTATTAAGGAACTCAAATGCTGGACCTTCTCCCAAAGTTTCCACTTTCTGGGTAGCTCTGGTTTTCAGTGTTAAGTACTATGAGTAGCTCCATTGTAGAATTGCTGGGCAAGGAGTTCTAGAAACTGGTGTATTTCCTGTAGGGCCACAGTGACAGCAGAGAGTGTGGACTCTGCAGAAACCATGGATATTATCAGGGTATGGGTTTGGAAAGCTGGTGAATAGGCCGAAATCTAAACCACCGGACTGAGAAGTGATTGTCAGATTTTGTTTTATAACAGGAAAAAGTGATAATTGCTTAATGCAGGTGCCCTTTTGTGTTCTGCCTTCTGGCTCTCTCCTGATATTATAAAGGACAGGTGCGGGAGGCTTGCAGTTCATATGGCTCTCTCTCTCTCCATTTGGCAGATAAAACAGGAATGCATTATTTGGGATAAGTGCATCAAAATGCTGCGGTTTAAAAAGTGCATTGAATACAGTTGAGTCCATTTGAAACAAGGACACTCTTTCTGAAAAGATTAATTTCCTTCAAGGATGGTTAGGTTTTTCTGTTTCGGCTATTAAAACATTTGGGGGAGGGTGGTTATCTACAGAAGAATATTTTCATCTCCATTCAGTTATGTCTGATGCTCTGTTTTTAAATCCACTAACGCCTATTTCTGCTTCACCTCCAAAAAAATTCTCATTAGGGAAGTAAAATAAAAATGAAACTCTTCTCTTACCCTTCATCCCCTAGATTCCCACTACCTTACGATAACTAGTTTTTAGCTGTTTAGTGTATTTCCTTGTAGTAACTGTCCAGCCATTCGGTACACGTGTAAATGTGTCTGTGTGTATCTGTATTGCTTTATAAATGTCATATCCAAACCCAAACCCATTCTGTAACATCTGGAAGGTGATGTGATTTTTACTGTTAGGTGAGTTGAACTCTGCTTCAGTTAGAAAAAAAGAAAAAGCCTAGATATTTTAATTATAAATCTTCGAAAAGTAGTGACACACGGACCTGTCTGCTACGAGAAGGACCTTTCTGTTGTATTCTGATTATTGATTTGGGACTGCTTTGTAAAAACTGCAATAGGATGTTTGTTGATTTCTTTAAAATGTCACTTTAAAAATAATACATGGTAGAGGGAGGCCCTGTGAGGGTAACAATAGTAACGATGATGATAGTAACTTTCACGGCCAATACCGGATTCCTCTGTTTTGTGCTTTTGGGGGGTATGTTAGGTTCACAGTTAAAAATAGAGCTCTAATTAAAATGGGCACCCTCTCTGGAAATAAGAACTATATTTCAATTAGTAAACTTCCTGTTTCCTCACCATGTGTTTTTGTTTTGTTCTCTTTTCATGTTTTTTTTAAAAACAGCAAGCCAGGGCTGAGCAGGAAGAAGAATTCATCAGTAACACTTTATTCAAGAAAATCCAGGCTTTGCAGAAGGAAAAAGAAACCCTTGCCGTAAATTATGAGAAGGAAGAGGAGTTCCTCACTAATGAGCTCTCCAGAAAGTTGATGCAGGTAAGTTATCTTTGTTGTTTTCTTATCTTGACTGCCTGTTTCCCTGTATAGGGAAAAAACCCCACAGACTTTGATAGAACACTTTGTTTGAAACATTTGCTGATGAAATTGTAGCTAAAGTTCTTTGGAGATTAAAAATATCAGGTAAAAGGTGGGGCCTGTGGCTCAAAGGAGTAGGGTGCCAGGCCCATATACTACAGGTGGCGGGTTCAAACTCAGCCCCAGTTTTTTTGGCCAAAAACTGCAAAAAAAAAAAAAAAAAATCAAGTAAGGATGACAGCCATGTGAGACTCAGGGTTGCGGTTCCCTAGCTCATTAGGTAAGGTAAGCTGTTTTGTATCCTGGGCAGTTCAGAAAATTGCTGATGATCACAAGACCTTAGCATAGGAGATATTCTAGGTAACATATTGGCAGTATGGGGTTTAACACCAAATGTGAGCTTTTTCCCCTCCTTTTATGTTGAATCTGTAATGACTACACGAACTTTTTGGCAATTGTAAGTGGGTCTTTTGTGCTAAAATATTAAGATAGAAAGTAAAATATCTTCAGGAAATAAAGTGTTCAGAATAGTTAAAATTACGTACAACCAACCATGTTTAAAGGGTTGAGTAACGTGTTACTTATCAGATAGCAGGCTGCTATTAAAACTTGACATTAATAACTAATGTTGTAGAGAAGACACTAAGCAGAACTTACAGGGAGGTTTGGGTTCTCTAAACCCAGAGGTCAGAGGCTCATTCTTTCCCCCTTTTTTTCTCTTCAAAGCTTACTGGTAAAGTTAAAAAGTAATTTGTTTAGGGGAAATAGCTATGGGCTATTTCATATGAATTTATGTATAAGTGGGATATGGCGTTTTTATTATTTAACACAGCTTATTCAAAATCGTAAGCAGGTACAAAATTAACAAGAGAGGGTTAGTCTCATTCTTCTACCTAATTACTGGTTAAAGATAGCATTAGTCTTTCATAAAATTTCATTTATGTTAGTTGTTGAAATATGAATGATAGAGGTGCCCAGGCATTACCGTCTAGCAGATCGATGGCAAAATTTTGGCACTGAAACTTACTGTTTATTCATTTCTTTCTGATTTAGAGGAAAAAGGTTAGTTTGACTTTTGCGTGTTCTTCACCTTGGCAACGTTAAGTGACTTATTCTGTATGGTGCTTCTAGAACCATAGGGATATAATTATGGATTTTTTCCTTGAGTTTAATGTATAATCAGACAGCCTAATTTTCAACAATGCAAGAATATATATTTTTGAATTTCTACTATAACACATGTATTTGTTATGTTTGACTAAAGTAAATTATGAAACAGTCCAAACTAGCCAGATCACATTCTTTTTATCTGTAAAGATTCATCTCCACTGTAAGTGGTTGTATAGTTTATAATTGGCCTCTTTATCTTAACCCACTTACTTTCCAAGGGCATTGTCCTTTAAAGTCCTGAAAAAGAATGGAAACTGAGAACCCTGTGCAACGGTACAGGAAGTTCATATGCCTGGTGTAAGGAGGCTCCAACTCAAAATCTAAGCTATGAGTATCCTATAAATGCTATCATTTGGAGGAATGTAGTGATTGTTTTTGCAGAATTCTTTTACCTAAAAACATTGTATTTGGTCAGGGGGAAAAAATCATATATTATGAAAATTCTTTTCAAGGGAAGTTAGATCTTTCCAAGGAGATTGACTAGTATATAAACTGAACAGCACCAACTGTTTTTTTGCCAAAAGTTATATGCAGGGTGGACTTAAAGTTTGTGTGCAGTTTTCCATGTTAAACTATTTTAAATTGCATGCAAACTTTATGTCCACCCTGTATGATGTCTATGCCTCGTCTGATGTGTGCCCTGACTCAAAAGACAGGGCATGAAGGTGTGAGTGAGCCTGTGAAGATGCCCTTTGGGGGAGCTCTACATGGGTTTGGAGCTTGTTGGTGATTGGACTTGTGGAATTGGGACAAACGGTTGGTTAGCATGTCCCTCAGACAAGCTGTCATCACTCCCAGCTTGCTTTTTAGGCTCTTTAAAAAATGTTGTGGTAAAATACACAAAAGATAAAATCTACCGTTATAACCTTTGGGGCATACGATCCATCAGCATTAGGAGCATTCACATTGTGGTACAACCATCACCACCAACCATCTTCAGAAATTTTCTAAGCTAAAACTCTGTACCCATTATATGTCCCGTACCTTTCTCCCGGTCCTTAGGCTTTTGAAAGGAAATGGATAGCAGTCAGATTAAGGTAGGGATCTCCGGCCAGTTCTCAGGCTACGTCCACCCTGTGGCGTGGTAGGGTGTCTGGCACCGTGCCCATTTTGTGATGAGTACCCAGGAACACATGTTCTGTTGACCAGTTAGTTGGAGGCATCACGTAGCTGCAGGGAAGATGGCTCTTTGCTTCTGAAACTCACCCCCCAGGCTCTCAGTATGTGTTTTCTTAGTGGCTTCACCAACTCTTTGTAAGAGTGCCGGCATTTTCTGCCTCCCACTCCCCACCCCCAGTGTGGAAGCACTCTTCTCCATCTGGAAGATTTTTAGAGTAATTGATACCAATAGACTTTTCCAACTGTGTAATTACTTTAATACAGCTTTCTAGGATGTTTGCCATCTGAGCTAGGACCTTGTTAGGAAAAGCCTGGTAAGAGAAACCATACTGCTGGTGTCACGGGTAGACAAACGGGCGAACTGTCTTTTCAGCAGTAAGTGTTTAGCATATTTCACGTAAAGGCCACCAAAAGGCTCTTTGCAGAACAGCTTTGGGTTTGTTACTGTGCTTTGGCTGTTATCTCTGATGGTGACTGGACAGTGCTTTTATGTGCATTTCAAAGGGATTCTTTGATCCGAAGAACAAAATGAGAATATTGCTATGGAGGAGATTCATTCCTTTGTATCTGCTTTGGCCAAATGGGTATCTAATACCTTTACAAACTGAATCAAGCTCACTTACGTGTATGTGAGAGGAAATCCCTTTGCCTTTGGGAGATCAAGCTATCTCCCACCTTGACCACCACCAGACTTGTTCATCTTACCAAAACAAACAAAAATACATACAAAAGAGACCGTGTACTTTTCTCCCTTGTCTTTGTGTCTAATAGATACAAAATTATATCTTCATTAAGATATAATTAAGCGAAAACTTTTCTTTGAAAAATCTACATCTTTCTGAACCCAGACTATAAGGTTAACTGTCTGATTGGCAAGAAATTATCCTAAAAAAGGATCCTCGAGTATTTAATTCAGTGTGAACCTGCATGAGAGCCGAATCCCACTCTGGTATGCCTTGAAAAATAGATTAATAATTATTTGTAAATAAAATCTGTCACAGATTTTTTGTGAGCAAACACTTGAACATGCTTAGTGTTGCCAATACGTTCTTGAAAACTGTGACTTTAAGTAAAGCATCCTATAATGAAACCAATTTTTTCATAAGCTAAATTGATAGAAACAAGAGTTAAGTTCCTATGATATGTCCCTGCTCACCAAAACTCATCAGACTTCTAAATACCCAAAACACATCTGACATTAAATATTGAAATATATGTGAGCTGTATGTGTATTTAGGAAAGGTTAATTTAAAATAAGATGATAATTTATCCAATTATTCTGGTTGAGGGTTGGGGAGCCCGAGGCTGTTCTGGCAGCTTAGGAGGGTGAGAACCAGTCCTGGAAAGGGCACCGTCCTTTCACAGGGCATGCTCACACACACTCACTCAGACCTGGCCCATCGAGACACTCCAGTGAACCTGATGTACACATCTTTGGGCTGTGGAAGGAGCCTGGAGCACACAGGAAAACCCCCACAGACGTAGGGAGAACATGCAAACTCCACATACATAGTAGCCCTGCTGGGAGTCAGGTTTTTGTTCTCATCAACATTATAATGAAACCACATCATTCGAGGACTGTGCTGAATAATGTATTATTAGAGGCTTTAGAGGAAAAAGTATAAGAGGCTTTTCTCCAAAAAAAAAAAAAAAAACAAATTGAGAGCAGAATCCTACTTGTACACTTGAAAAATAGATTAATAAATTTATAAATAATAAATTATAAATATATAAAATATAAATTAATATATATATGTTTTTTTGAGACAGTTTCACTTTATCGTCCTTGGTAGAGTGCCATAGTGTCACAGCTCACAGCAACCTCCAACTCTTGGGCTTAAGTGATTCTCTTGCCTCAGCCTCCCAAGTAGCTGGGACTACAGGTGCCAACCACAACACCCGGCTGTTTTTAGGTTGTAGTTGTTTTAGTTGGCCCAGACCGGATTCTAACCCCCCACCCTTGGTGTGTGTGGCTGGCACCGTAACCACTGTGCTACAGGCGCTGAACCTTTTTTCCAAAATATTAACAGTAATTAGCTTGAGTGCAGAGTTGACATTTTGTTAATTTTCTTTGTGCCTCTTTCCTTCTAATTTTGTAAAAGCAGCATTTATACTTTTGTAACTAGCAAGTATCTTAGTTCTTGTAAAGGGAATTTACAAATTCTAATATCTGTTTTGTCCTCCTTCTGCATCTTTGAGAGCTCAGAGACCTGCTATCTTAGGTGCATCTCTTTGTCTTAGACAGCAGTAAGCTGAAGTCCTTTGCAGAGTCAGGCTCATTTCCAAGTGATAGAGAATTCTGGGCTGCCCACATCAAGAACTGATATAATCAGGACCTGGTGAGATGGCTCACCAGCCAGTTATCCTAGCACTCTGGGAGGCTGAGCGGGGAGGATCCCTTAAGCTCCGGAGTTCAAGACCAACCTATGCAAGAGTGAGACCCCATCTCTACTAAAAATAGAAAAGCTAGCTGGTTGTTGTGGCAAATGCCTATAGCCTCAGCTACTCCAGAGGCTGAGATAAGATCACTTGAGCCCACGAGTTAGAGGTTGCTGTGAGCTAGGCTGACATCACTGGGTAACAGAGTGAGACTCTTGTCTCAAAGAACTAGTAATAATCAGAATGCTCTTATGATTGGCTTAGATTAGCTTAACTACCTAGTCAGTCTGTAT